AAACTCAAGGACCTTGGACTTAAAGAAGATTTTATGGATTTGACCTCAAAGGCAAGGCAAGTAAAAGCAAAAATAAATGAATGGGACTACATCAAACTAAAAAGCTTCTGTTCAGCAAAAGAAATCATCAACAAGGTAAAAAGACAACCATCCAATAAGGGCCTAATATCCAAAGTATACAAAGAACTCATACGACTCAATAACAACAAAAAGCAAACAATCCAATCAAGAAATGGGCAAAGGACCTGAACTGATACTTCTCCTTAGAGGACATACAAATGGCCAACAAATATATGAAAAGATGCTCAACTTCATTAGCTATTAGGGAAATGCAAACAAGAACCACGATGAGATAAAACCACCTCACACCTGTTAGAATAGCTATCAACAGGACAAGTAATAACAAATGTTGGAGAGGATGTGGAGAAAAAAGAACCCTCATACACTGCAGGTGGGACTGCAAATTGGTACAGCCACTATGGAAAACAGTATGGAGGTTCCTCAGAAAACTAAGAATTGATCTACCATATGATCCAGCAATTCCTCTACTGTGTATTTACCCCAAAGACTTGAAAACCCATATGAGAAAAGATATTTGCACACTGATATTCATAGCAGCACTATTTACAGTGGCCAGGATTCACCATTATAGAGGTCGAAATATCACCATTTACTGGGGTTTGGAAGAAGTTGACTCCAACCCTCATGCATGACTTTCAGGGGTTCAAGACTTCAGTGGAGAAAGTAACTGCAGATGTAGCAGAAATAGCAAGAGAACTAGAATTTGAAGTGGAGGCTGAAGATGTGACTGAATTGCTACAATCTCATGATAAAACTTGAAGGGATGAGGAGTTGCTTCTTATGGATGATCAAAGAAAGTGGTTTCTTGAGATGGAATTTACTTCTGATGAAGAGGCTGGCGAAGATTGTTGAAATGACAACAATGGATTTAGAACATTATATAAACTTAGTTGAAAAAACAGAGGCAGAGTTTGAAAACACTGACTACAATTTTGAAAGAAGTTCTGCTGTGGGTAAAATGTCAGCAAACAGCATTGCACGCTACAGAAAAATTGTTCATGAAAAGAAGGTCAATTGATGCAGCAAATTTCACTGGTGTCTTAAGAAATTGCCACATCCACTCCAGCCTTCAGTAACCATCACCCTGATTAGTCAGGAGCCATCAAAAAGACTCCCCACCAGCAGAAAGATCATGACTCATTGAAGGCTCAAATGATGGTTAGCATTTTTTAGCAATAAAGTATTTTTTAATTAATGCACATTGTTTTCATAAATATGGTGCTATCGCACACTTAATAGACTATAATAGAGTATAAACATAACTTTTATATGCACAGGGAAAATAAAAAATTCATGTGACTCACATTATTACAATATTTGCTTTACTGTGGTGGTCTGAAACCAAACCTGAAATATCTCCACAGTATACATATACATCCTTTTCCTTTACTAATTATACATATTCTATCTTATATTAGAGTCAGCTATTTTATTCCTTATTTCTTCAGAGTAGATTTCCAAACAAATAAAAAAATAATTTACTAGAAAGTAAATTTTTATAGATTAGTAGCCTGGTTTTCAGTACATTATTTTACCAATCGCAGCAGTTCAAATAATATCTAGAAATTAATTGTGAATTATTAAGTCATTCTTAATTTTCAACATATATTTTAAGAAACCTTCTAATTTGCTTACCTTGTGGTATATGTGTGACTGCTGCCTTCTGATCTGAACGTAAAAAAAAAAAAAGAATGTTTCAAGTTAGTCCTAAGAAAACTTGCCTACTGCATGAATAAAAGTCAGGCCATTTCATAAGCAGTATTATCTCTTTTACAAGACTGATTATCAATAAAGAAAATAACATCAAAGGTCACTGAACAAAGATGCCAATAAATAACATTCTTTTTTACCCATATACCTCATCTATGAAGAGTACAAATTTCAAATCCGACAATGAGAAGAGTATTAAAAAGACATGGATTTGTTTTTTGCTTATCACTTCTGAACACAAAATATACATTTGACCCTAGATGCCTGATTCTGATCTTCATAGCCCAACTTTTACTTTTTATTCACTGATAAAGAAATGCTACATTTCATAAATTAAAACTCCTACTGACTTCTAGACAATCTGGCAGAGTGGGCTGGTGGGACAATTTCCCCCTTTCCATTTCTCACATAGAGAAATGCTAATATAAATAATACATACATTTAATATGTAGCTGAAGTTAGTAACAAAAAAAGACTTTTTTGATGCTAGTAAAAATAAAGAAACAGAGTTGAAGGGGTAAACAGGAGCTAAAACTGAATGTCTGAAAGGGTATCTAAGCCAGTGATACACCTTTGAGGCTAAGATTTAATAAGCCGTCCTGTGAAGGAGTTCTGGTCCAAGGCCTTAAAAAAGTAGGGAAACTATAAGTGAGCTCTTTAACTGAACATGGGAGCCATGGAGCCATTAAATTTCTGACCAGTGGTCTTTGAAATGCAGCAGGAAAACGAGGATATATAGATGGGGGAAAATGCATCGGTGAGAAAAGTAGGAATCTCAACCCTCTAAAAAGTGTACTTTCAGGACTCTCATTCACATACTACAAATTCTTTAACACAATGCATAGCAATTGTTTTAAACCCACATATATGTGTCTTCAGCACAGGGCATGCAGAATTTTCATGGGAAAATCATAGACACAGAAGTCAAAAGAGTCTATAATTACAAACCACTAGGCATTAGTGTAAACTGTCACAGCAAATCAATGAATTCACACACCAAGAAATACAACACAAATTATTACAAAAACTTTAATATAAGAATATTTAGAATCTCCATTGAGATTTTTGCAAGAATAGATTCCTTAAGTCTAAAACAGAACAAAGATGGAAGATGAATCGGTGAAATGAAAGAGTGATCTGAGGAAGAAAACAGAAAATGAAATGTAGAGATAAATATGAAAGTGAAGTTATAAATCACAAAGACATGCTTCCAAATCTGGCCAAGATAGAATAACACTGGATTTACCCTTCTGCCTGAAAAAACTGAAAAGCCTGACAAAATATATGAAACAGTGGTTTTCAGACACTGAATATGTCAACACAGAATAATGATCTCTGAGGGAAGGGAATAAAAAAGATGATATCTATATCTGACCCTTCTTACTGACTGGTGAGAGTTTCCAGACTTTAGCACAGTGAGGAAGACCCAAGCAAAGCCAGAAGTTTCCCTGAGCTAATAGAATAGGGAATCTTTGGTGGGAAAGGCAGCTAGAATTCACAGGGCAAAATAAAAAGAGCTGCACACAGAAAGCTCCTGAAATCTGTGGAGGGTCCCCTTTGAGTCTTCTGCAGAAGATTAAGTATTGAGTGCAAGTGAGGAAACTACCTGAGCCAGAGAGGGAGAAAATTGAAATGAATAAAGGGACAATCCCTTGTGCTCACATAGGGACAGAAATAGTTCATGTTCCCACAACCTCAGTTGAAAAATCTCATAATTCATGGTGTGTTGGATAGAGTTACTCAAAAGGCTATTGCCTCAGTAGTGGTGACTATTCTAATGCTGCTTAACAAATCTTACAAAGCAATGGGGTTAAAACAATTGGATATTCTTAAGCACAACAAAACAAAACAAAACAAAACACTGTATCCATACCTCTTAACCTATCCAAAACTTAATTCAAATTAGTTATAGGCCTAAATGAAAAAACAAACACTAAAACTTTTAGGGAAAAAAATAGGAGGAAATTTTTATGAATTTTGGTTAGGCAAATATTTCCTACATACAACACCAAAATCATGATCTATAGGAGAAAAAAACTGATACGTTGGATTTCCTCAAAATTAATGACTCCAATAAGGGGCTAATATCCAAAGTATTAAAAGAACTCACACAACTCAATAACAACAACAACAACAACAAAACAATCCAATTAAAAAATGCACAGAGGGGTTGGACAGACACTGCTCTCAAGAAGACATACAAATGGCCAAAAGACAAATGAAAAGATTCTCAACTTCACTAGCTATTAGGGAAATGCAAATCAAACCCAGTAAGATACCACCTCACACCTGTTTTAATGGCTATCATCAACAAAACAAGTAACTGCAAGTGTTGGAGAGGTTATGGGGAGAAAGGAATGCTCATAAATTGCTGGTGGGAATGTAAATTAGTATAGCCAATATGGAAAACAGTATGATATTTCCTCAAAAATATTAAGAATAGAATTACCATATGATCCAGCAACCCCACTTCTGGGTATCTACCCCAAAATTCGAAAACATTTCTCCATAAAGATATGTATACCCCGATGTTCACTGCATTATTATTCATGGTGGCCAAGACATGAAAACAACTGAAGTGCCCTTTGATAGATGACTGGATAAAGAAGAAATGATACATATATACAATGGAATATTACTCAGCCATAAGAAAAGATGAAATAATGCCATTTGCAACAACACGGATGGATCTGGAGATTATCATGCTAAGCGAAATAAGCCAGACAGAAAAAGATGAGGATCATATGATTTCACTCATATGTGGGATATAAAACAGAAAGCAACAGATATGTTAGACAAACAAAAACTCAGACATAGACAACAATTTAGTGGTTACCAAAGACAAAAGTGGGAGTGGAGAGGTAGACAAGGGTAAAGAGGGTCAAATATATGGTGACAGAAGGAGATCTGACTTTGGGTGGTGAACACAGTGCAATATACAGATGATGAAATATTGAATTTTACACTTGAAACCTATGTAATTTTATTTACCAGTGTCACTCTGATAAATTTAATAATTAAAAAAAGAAATGCTTCCTCAAAAAACACAAAGTATTTAATATTGTGTTGCTCATTTATTTTTTCATTAAAAAATCAATATATTACACATGATATTTTAAACAAAATATATATCAACATTAAAAAATTTTTTTTGCTCTTTGAAAGTATGAAAAGACAAGCCTCAGATCAGGAGAACATATTTGCAAGTCATACATACGATAAAAGACATGTACCCAGAATATATAAAGAACACTCAAAATGAAACAATAGAAAAACAAAAAAACTTTTTTTTGAAATGTAAAGATTTAAATGACTAAATAATAAAAAGAAAACCCAGTTAAAAATGGGGCCTTTCAAGTGGAACTACCATCTTGTAGTAACTAGTCAAAATGGCCAACACTAAAGGAAAAAGAAGAAATACCTGTTATATGTTCTTTAGGTGTTTTAGAAAACATAGAGTTGTTCCTTTAACCACATACATGTGAATCTACAGATATTACAGAAGTCAAAAGAATGGATATTGTTCAAAAAGGAATGACCCACATCATTAACAAGGCAAAACTGAAAGTGTTACCTTGAATGCTGTTGGAATTGTTATAAACAAACAGGTTAAGGGCAAGATTCTTGCCAAGAGATTTAATGTATGTATTGAGCATATTAAGCACTCTACAGGCTGAGGTAACTTCCTGAAACGTGCGAAGGAAAATGAACAAAGAAGAAAGCCAAAGAGAAAGTTTTGGGGTTCAACTGAAGCACCAATCTGTTCCACCTAGAGAAGCACACTTTGCAAGAACCAATGGAAAGGAGCCAGAGCTGCTGGAACCCAATCTTCATAAAATTATAGCATAATAGATATAAAATAAATCAATAAATAAATGACCTCTGAACTGTAAGTAAATTAAAAATGAGCAAAAGATTTGAATATAAACGTCTCTCAAGATGTACAGATGACAACCACATGAAACAACTCTCAACATCATTAGTCATTAGAGAAATATGAATTAAAACCACGAGATGCCACTATTCGCTGTCAGAACTGCCAAAATTTAAAAAAAATAAATAACCATACCAAGTGTTGTTGAGAATGTGAAGAAACTAGAACTCTCACATACTAGTAGTTGGAATATAAGATGGTACAACTGCTTTGAAGAACAGTTTGGCTCTTTCTTTAGAAATCAAACACATACCTACCATATTACCCCAACATTCCAATCTTGGGTATTAACTCAAGAAAAAGAAAGTATATATTTGCATAGAGACTTGTATATAAATGTTCATAGTGGCTTTATTTATAACAGCCAAAAACTGGAAGCAACCCAAACATCCATCAACACATGAATGGATAAACAAATTATGGTATATCTATACAACTGAATAGTTATTAGCAATAAAAAGGAACAAACTATCGATACACACAAACATGGATGGATTGCAAAATAATTATGGTTAGTGAAATAAACCAGATAAAAATAAAGAGTACAAACTGCATGATTCCATTTATATAAAGTTCTAGAAAATTGGAACTAAACTATAGTAACTGATCAACTATAGAAAGCTGATCAACATTTGTCTGGGAATAAAGGAGGTGAAAGAGGCAGGAGTGGGGATTATAAAGAGGCACAAGGAAACTGGGGCATGACAGATACCTTCATAAACTTGATTGCGATAATGGTTTTACTAGTGTTACTTTTCAAATTATCAAAGCATACCAAATGACACACTTAAAACATATGCAATTTACTATATATCAATTATACCTCACTAAAACTACATATTAAAAAAGAACACGCTATTGATACACATAACAGCAAGTGTAGATTTCAAATGCATTATACTAAGAGAAAGAAGGCAGACTCAAAAGACTGCATACTGTATAATTCTGTTTATACGAAGTTCTGGAATGGGCAAAACTATAGGCAAAGAAGATAGATCTGTCAGTGGCAGAAGCTGGAAGTGGA